CAACTGTTTTTTCTTTCTCTCCTTCTTTCTTGCTTGTTTGCTTTCTCTTTTTCAGCTCACTCTATGTGGAAGTCTCTGAATTTCAGTGAGTGAAATAATAAATAAACCCAGGCTTTTTCATCAAGACAATAACCATTTCTGTTTTGCTTACCACTGTATCACCCAGGCAACACAGTGGCAGGTCTGGCTGGCCGTGACTGGGGGTAGAGGCCCAGTGCCCAGAGTACACATGTGGAGAAGCGGGGGCACTAGTTTGGCAATGGGAGACATTCTTGCTCCACTCTCATGGCTTTCATCACCAGCTCAGCTCCCTGTCCTAGGCAGGGAAGTCGACTTGTGGGATTGAGTAGTCTGAGCTGAGGACACTGAGAGCTCAGGTGGGAAACAACAATGATAGTAGTGGTAACAATGGCCTTAGCTTTCAGAGAAGATGGAAGGTACCCATATCGAGCTGGGAGATGTGACACCACACAATATTAAACAGCTGGAAGGATTAAACCAGGTCATCTTTCCAGTCAGCTACAATAACAAGTTCTACAAGGACGTGCTGGAGGTTGGCGAACTAGGAAAACTTGCCTCATTCAATGATATTGCAATTGGTGCAGTATGCTGTAGGGTGGATCGTTAACAGACTCAGAAGGGACAACATCATGAGACTAGGATGACTGTCACCATACCAAAGGCTAGGAATGGGAACTGAAATGTTAAATCATGTCTTAAGCATCTGTGAAAATGATAGAATTGTTGACATCTATCTGCATGTCCACATCAGCAATGAGTCACAATGAACTACTACAGGAATTTTTGTTTTGAGATTATTGACACCAAGAACTATTATAAGAGGATAGAGCCAGCAGATGCTCATGTGATGCAGAAAAACCTCAAAGTCCCTTCTGGCCAGAATGCATACATGCAGAATACAGACAACTGAACAAATTACAAACGTACTTTCTTGCACTTGCTTGTTGCCAATAAAAAAAGAGGCCCATAGATTCCCATCGCCCCCCTCCCACCTTTCTTTTAAAGCTTTTCCCACTCCTTGTCCTTGTTTTTCCTCTTTTTTCCTTCCCTTCTAAAAGTTTTAAAACTTTCAAGGACTTTCAAAATTAATTATATTTGGATTGTTTTAGTTCTCTTCTTGTTGTGTTGTGGATTGATTGTAGGAAAGAGAAGGTATAGCTCTGTTTGGTTTCACAGTTAAGATATTTAGTCTGAAAAATGTGGGTGTTGATTTCAATTTATTTTTAGCTTGTTTTTATGCCCTGCTTTCACATTGAAGTGCAGAGCTTACAAAATATTATATATTTCAAAATACAAAAAGAAGCAGCAGCAATATCTTATTCTCTAATCATAGACAAGTTTAGTGTGTTTGTGGTACTTTGGGTTTCTGTTTGTGGGATACTAATATTGCCTAGGCATTTCTTTCATCTCCACTTTTGTCCTTCTAAGTACTATCTCAGGAATTGGACCATTGTTATCCTTGTAAGAAATTACTACGCTTATTTTGATTTTTCAAACAATTATTTCTTCCTTCCTTGCTGGTGGCTGAGGGTGAGTGGAATGGTTTGGGTAGGTAGCTTTATACTTTGATCTCAGTATTCCAGTTAAACTTCTTTTTGCTAATGAGTTGGCTGGTTGTTAGCAGGTTTATTTTTCCTGCTGTTGATTGTTATTAGTGGCATTAACTTTTAGAGTGTGAGCTGGTGACATTAATTCTTAAAAATATTCCAGATAGAGTTAATGACCTTTAACTAGCCTAAAGAGGTTTACTGTGACTTACTGTTTTTTCCCTCCTATCTTTTTCTTCAGCAAACCCACAGTAGTTAGTCTAACCTTTAAAATGTAGTTGATATCCTTATAGGTCAATACCCTTAAAGAATGCTGATGCAGGTGTTGTGTCTTGAACATATTAAAATATACCTAAAAGGAAGCTAACATGGACTTGTGGCACAATAAATGCATTAGATGTTAGTTAATGCAGGCTGTTAAAAGTGTGGCCACTGAACATTTGATTATATAGGAAAGAATATATAGACAGTATTTTTTAGAAGAACGTAGCTGAGCTATTGTTTATCTGTTGGAGAACATCCAAGGTTTGCTTACCTTCCATGGCTATGATATTGAGTTTAGGGATATGAGGGAGGGATAATTGTTAAGCATATTACTTCTATCTTTAGAAAAATAAAAGTTTAGAAGTGTTACTAATGCAAATATCATTCTCCTGGCCAAAAATCTTCAATGATGTCCTACTACCTAGAAATAAAGAAAAATATCTAATCTATTTTATTTGTACAGTCCTTGAACTTTCATTTTACAGATATTATTATTATTGTCCTTGATATTGCCTACACAATACTTGGTGCTGGGTAATACTTTTTTTTAAATACCAGAACACCGCATAAGTTTATTTCAGATGTAACAGCACTGTTGAAATAAGCAAGTAACCTCCTCTACTGACAGGACTGGTTTATGCCAGATAATTTTCCGATGAATAAGGAGTTGTTTTGATGGACTGATAATTTTTTGCAAGATAGGAGACAACTGAAATTTTCTTGTTTTCCTCCACAATCCCGTCTCTAATATTTAAATTGCTCTGCTTTGCCAATATGGGTGGCCCAATAAATGATATCATTAGACTTTAAAACAATGAACAGAATTTGAAGATCTTGTCATTTGACTTTAAAAGGAAGGTTGATTCTAATATGTATATTCTTATGTAAATTCTGCTATGAAAATCTCATCTCTCCAAATATGTTAAATGACAAAATTATTTTATACAATGTTTATGCACATTTTATATTCTTAACTTATTTGAGAATGTGAAAGTGCAAAGTACAATAGACTTCAGCAGTCTTAATTGAGCACCAAGAATAATACAGAAAAAGAAGATAGTTGATGCATGGGTTTATAGGGTTCTAATCTTGTTAGTAAAAATGTAGAAAGACCATGCTAGATTCTTGGGTTATCAGTTTATTCAGCAGTCTAAATCTAAGCTTAGAAGAAAGTTTAACATTAAACACATTTAGCTTTATGGATAAGCTTCAGCTTGCTCTTGCCAAGAGAAGAGTGCTTGAGTTACAGAAGGCATAATTAGTTTGAAGAATTCAGCCATTTGTAAACTTCCAGGTATCAAAATAGGTTTTGATATATAAATGAATTTTCTGAGATAACACTGCCTCTATTTCTATAACCATTTCACCTGGACTGTCTAATCAATCTTATGAATGTATTCCTAAATATGGTTATTGAAAACCAAATAGCAGCCTCATGATGATTAAGTACATGTTATTTGAGGAAAAATATTAAATTTTGAATTGAGTGCGTATGCTCCTTATCATTGTAGTATTTCTTTTTCCACACTAGTCAATGGCTTTAACCTAATTTGTAAATGTTTCTAAAGGGTTAATTGTCTTACATCAGACTTGTATTAAATAATTTCATCCACTGATGGAGGACAAGGGAATAGAAGAGGTAGAAGAAGCTGGGCACTAGTTCATTCCTTATGAATCAGTAAAGACTGAACTAATGTTTTATGTTAAGTTGATTATTTTGAAGTATAATGAAAATCATCATAGAAGTAAAACAATTATATTAACTGGATAATCACAGGATGTATCCGTCATATTTTTTCAGGACAAATCGTTTTTACTGTGGGGTGAATAGGTAAAAATTTATAGTGGATGGCAATTGCATTTGGGTTCTAAAGAAAAAGTCTTCAGAGAAATCTATGCACTATATAACTTATCCAGATTGTTTTTATTTGGAGGAAGAAGTTCTGAAAGAGCCCCAAAACAGTTTACTTATCACTTGAAAATCCTCTGAAAACAGAACTATGGGGACCGTGGTTATGTGGGGTGGAACTGTAATATGTAGGGTGGAAAAGAAAAACTACCTCAGTTTTTGGGAGAGAATAGCTATATAATATTTAAATGGCTAAGTTTACTTGGTGCAGTTAAACTAAACTTGTTTATTTTAATATTGCTGTTATATCTGAAATAAACTTATGTGATATTCTGGTATTACAAAAATATGTATTACCCAGCACTAAGTAATGTATGTGTGGGCAATAGCAAGCACTCAATAAATATCTATAAAATGGAAGTTCAAGAAATATACAAACAAATAAATTAGGTATTTACTTTTATTTCTAGGTAAAAAGACATCATTGAAGATTTTTTACCAGTAGAATGACATGACTTCAATTGTAATTTAGGAAGATTAAGCTAGTGGTAATGTATAGGATAGATGACAGAAGAAGACACAGTTGGCAAAGACCAGTAAGGAGATAATTATAGTGGTCTAGACAGGAGTGAAGGACTGAACCAAGTGATTGTAGTAGAAGGGGACATTGTGCAGGGACACTCTACAGACCATTGTTCCTACCATACATTGGTCTTCTCCATTGAGTGAACTTTAAAAAAAAAAAACTAGAATACTGGATAGAACTATTAAAATTTTGCTGATTCAGTTGTTTTACAACTATAATATATATCTAAATTTCTCAACCAAAATATCGGCATCATCTTCTATCTAGATATGTATGCTACATATTTATACCATTACACTCTTTTAGAATCCCCATGGATTTTCCCTTAAACATAGTGCTACATTCTGAAACCTTTTCATATATTTGCCAAAATTTTAAGGTGTGGTATTTTAGAAATTCATGCCCCCTCTTCCATAACCTCTGTTTTTCTCAAATCAATACGTGGCTTTTATTGCATCTTTATTTTTTTGTTGTTTAACTTTTATTTCATAATCACAAACTTAACTCTGCAATCCCACTAGCCTTGGAAGAGGTAAGGAAAATACGGAACCCAATGAACTGAGGAGAGAGCACAAAAATTATAGAACATTCCAAGCAGATGGGGGTGTAGAGGTAATCTCCTGAACTACAGAAGGAATGGTCTGGTAGTTAAAATAAAACACAGATAAAATGTATTAGACTTGTACGCAGTAAGTAATGGTGTTCTTCTTGATGGTCTTGCCATTCTTGGACCCTAGTGCTCCATGGGTGTCACAATATCCATGCTGTTTTTCACCTGGCTGAAGACCACATGCTTGCCATCCAGACACTCAGTCTTGACAGAACAGATGAAAAAGGAACCATTTTTGTTGGGTTCAGCATTTTCCATGCACAATATTCCAGGACCTTTGTGCTTCAGGATGAAATTCTCATCATCAAATTTCTCCCCATAGGTGGACTTGCTGTCTTTGCCATTGTGGTGTGTGAAGTCACCACCCTGGCACATAAATTGTGGAGTAATTCTGTGAAAGCAGGAAACTTTATAACCAAATACTTTCTCCCCAGTGCTCAGAGCATGAAAGTTTTCTGCTGTCTTTGGAAATTTGTCTCTGTACAGCTCGAAGGAAACATGGCCCATGGGCTCACCATCAGCAGTGATGTCTAAGAACACAATAGGGTTTACCATGGCTAGGAACAGGAAGTTCTGGGTGATGGCAGCATCTGCAAGGCCTGCATCTTTGAAATTTCACAAGTAAGACTGAGGAATCATTTGGAATCTTACTGTTTCTAGAGCAAGACAGCTTGGATCTTATTTATCAGCCTGCTGAACTGTTTCTTTTTCCAGAAACATAGATACCATAAAAATTTTATGATATCCTTGTTTTTAACTGTTGCAGTTTGCTGAATCAAAGCACCTGAATTTGACATAAGTTTAATGTTTCCTTCAAGAATCAACTCATTTTTCTGGGCTTGAGATACTGAACAAGCAACACCTGACCTCATCTGAACCCTGCGGGTGTATTTTTTTTCCCAAGAAATTTATGATTTCAACAAGAGAACCACTCTCTTGAATAACAACATAGATGGGGAAGTGAGCATACACAGACCTCATCTTGTAATGAAAACCCAGGGTAACACCCTTGATCATGTTTTGTACATGATTGCAGATGGTGTGAATGGTGGAGGGTGCCTTTCTATTTCCCCACCATCTGTCAACCCAGAATCTCTTCTTTTTCCTTCCAAGTAGACTGAGTTCTACATTGGTGTGATTGAAGTCCCTTCACAGGATGCTTCTGAGGCCCTTCATAATAACCATACATCCATTAAGAATGATTACATTTCCTGGGAATAGTCTGATTGCTGAGAATGGTCTTCATCCTCACAGTAGAAGTGACAAAGAGAGCCACAGCTTTGCTTTTTAATCTTGGGAAATCTGGGTAAGCTACTTAACCTACATGAGCCATGGGTGTAGGTTTTTTCGTTTTTGTTTTTTTCCATTTGTAAAATGGAGATGATATTTTCTATTTTATAGCGCTATTATACAGAGTAAGTAAAATTATTTTTCTAAAGTGTTGAGCAACATGTTTTGCACATAGGAAAAGCTTGGTAAATCTTAAATACTATTAATAATGTTATTATTGATATTATCACTATTATTCCTGTACCACAACAGTTCACATAACTTCTGTTATTGTGGGCACAACAAGTAAAGAATTTGATACTGGTAATCCAGTGCTTTTGGTCTCAAAATAAAAATTCCCACAGTCTATGGCACTACAGTGTACTTTGTAATGATCATTGTTACTTTTATTAGAGGAAATATATTGGAGTAATAGTCATAGTTATTTTTCTTAATGGTTCATATTTGGAATAAAGATGAAATGAAAATGCTTTTAAAAAATTTCTCTGTGCTACAAGTTCTCTGATTGTCATCTGTTCATTCTGTCCTTTTGTAATAGACAGATTGATGTCAGGATTAAAAACCAACCCTCTAGGGTCATTTTTCACACCAAGGTGGTGGTAAGCTTGCTCAATCTGTTTCACAAAATATTAGAAGTGATTCAATGGGAATTTCTTCTGTATGTAGAAATGCTTTTTGATGAATGGGTTATTTCCTAGAGTTTTTCTAGTCTATATTTGTAATTTTCTCTATAAACCTGAGTGAGTTATGAATTATTATAAAAAGTCATAGTTTGAATCAATGCCATGTAAAGAAAAAAAGGAGAAACAAATAAAAGTAGGAGGCAATGCCCACTTAGTACAGATGGTTGTTAAATTAAGATTATTAAATTAAGTGTGTTTTTTAAGATCTAAATTATTTTGTTTATTCAATGCTATGTTTTTTTTTCTTTTTTAATGTTTATTCTTTTACAGTTGTCTCAATTATTTCCCCCTTTACCCCCTCCACCCATCCCACCCCCACCCCCTGCTCCCACAGTCAATTCCTACTCTATTGTTCATGTCCATGGGTCATTCATACATGTTCTTTGTCTAGTCCCTTACCCTTTTTCCACCATTGTCCTCTTTCCCCTCCTCTTTGATCACGTTCAGTCTGCTCCATGTTTCTGTGCCTGTGGTTTATTTTGTTTGTTAGTTTATTTTGTTGAATAGATTCCCCTTATAGGTGAGACCATATGGTATTTGTCTTTTACCAACTGGCTGATTTCACTTAGCATAATATTCTCCAGTTCCATCCATGCTGTGGCAAAAGGTAGGAGTTCCGTCTTTCTTTCTTTCTCTTTCTTTTTCTTTCTTTCTTTCTTTCTTTCTTTCTTTCTTTCTTTCTTAAATGCAGATTGATTTTATATTTTAATGTCAAAGTCAATTATAAAATATTTAAAATTAAAATTTAAAATATTTAAAGTATTAAACATTTAAAACCATTATAAAGTCTCAGCAATTAAAACAACATGACACCAGCACAGAAATAATCAAGTAGATCAATGAAATATAATGAGTATTCTAGAGACAAATGTATATATCTGTCTAACAATATAATATATGATTAAGTTGATATTTCAAGTCAATGGGTAAAATAAGGCTTATTCAACAAATAAGGTGCTTGGACCACTATGACTTAAAATAAAATAAATATGGAGCCCTATTTCACAAAATGTGTTTCTTGAATGTAATTATGGAGAATATCAGTTGTGGATACCTACTAATGAACTAATTATACAAACTTCCATGGTCGATTTCAGTCTTGCATGTGTTAATATGAAATGAAACTAGACTTCAACTTGTGGTTATTATAATTTGTCTAATGATTTATCAATGATGAGATCAGTGGTGATTATCCCAGTAAGGGAAAATCAAAATATACATATTTAAAAGATTTTATTTATTTATTTTTAGAGAGAGGGAAAGGGAAGGAGAGAGTGAGAGAAACATCAATGTGTGGTTGCCTCTTGCACTCTGCCTACTGCGGCCCTGACTGGCAACCCAGGCATGTGCCCTGACTGGGAAGTGAACTGGTGACCCTTTGGTTCTCGGGCCGGCACTCAATCCACTGAGCCACGCCAGCCAGGGTGAAATATACATATTTAATATTCAAAGTTAATATTACTCCAGTCTCCCCTGTGAGGCTCTCTAAGAAAGAAAATACCATAGTAAAAGTTTGGGAAACTAAAACATATTAGAGTATGTTTAAAGAATAAGTGAGAATCTAATAAAATATCCTAGTGGTGAGAAATGTTTCTTCCTACCCACTGATGTCAAGTGTCAGATTAGTTCTAAAATTTAAACCCAAATTTGTTCTTGGTGTTTTTTAAATTTTGTTTAAAGTTGTGAGTCTTTATCCTTTCATGACCTATACTGTAATGGGTGTGATGTTTTTGATTTCTTTTCCAGCTTATATAATAAAACTTTTCTTTCTGAAATTTGGTGATTTTAAGATTAGAATTCTTTTTTTTGAGAGGACAAACCATTGACTGACTTCAACCCTTTTCATTTTCAATCTCAGGTTCATCTAAACCCCAGAATAGCACCAAAGTCCAAATTTTTCAAAGATAGTAATTTATTTTATTCCCTATTCCTCTTTAGAGAAAATAACATCAATGACAAACTCTTTAAGTCTGAAAACTTCTTCTTTGTGTTCAAGGAAAGTTAAAATGGCTCTTGAATCTTTTTATGCAAAGGTGTTATTTCAGTGTGTTGACTCTTGAGTCTTTACCTTTACTTAGAGCAAGTGCATTATTGTTAAAATATCACTCATTCTTAAGTATTAACTAATGTGTGAGTTCAGTTTAAAATATCTTGTAATGTCAAACATTCTTTAATCAGAGGTAGAACTTTTATTTTTTTATTTTTTTTCATTCTTGTATTGTTGTTTATTAATTATTGTATTATTTTCCATATGTCCCATCCTGTATGTATAGGGGTGTGTGTATATATTTTCTATAAACATAGATTTGAATTAGAATCCATTATAACCTTTCTTTTTTTTAATTTATTTACTTTTTAAATACATTTGTCTCTGCCTTCCCCCGACCTCTTTCCCTTGCCCCCTCCCACCTTCCCTCCCTCAGCTCTTCTCCTTTGGTTTTGTCCATGAGTCCTTGCTATATGTTCCTTGACTTTCCCCTTCCCTTCCCTTTCCCTGCCCCCCCCCTTCCCTCTTGTCTCTGTTGATTTCTTTTCCTTTCAGTGTTGCTGGTCATATTTTCCTTGCATCTTTGCATTGTTGGTTAGGTTTCGCTTATAGGTGAGATCATAAAAAATTATGGTACATATACACAATGGAATACTACGCAGCAGAAAGAAAAAAAGAAGTACTAAACTTTGCGACAGCATGGATGGAACTGGAGAGCATCATGCTAAGCGAAATAAGCTAGGGGGCGAAAGAGGTAGAACTTTTAAAGCTAAGTTTCTATGAAGGTCTGTAATTTCTGGAATAGGATAACAGCAAATCAAGTAAAAGCTTACAAATACAGGCTTAAGTTTTTAAATTTACTATAAAATAATTTAAGTCAATGAACTAGTTAAATAGGATAACAAGAGTGAATCAGTGCATTGACGAATCAGAAACCTGAAGCCAGGTATTCTCCTGGAATGTAATCCCCTGGAACAAAAGGAAATATAGTAAAACAGTTGATAGACATGAAACATGGATCTACGAGTTTCAAGATCATTGTAAATGGCATTCTATATGAAAAGAAACAGAGAGAATGAAGGAAAGAAGGTAAAGAGTAATAAACGAATACATACATTATTTCCTGTAACAAATTAGAGCCTACTGTGTCTCAGGTACTGTTCCAGGCTTAGGAAAAAAAAAAAAAACAAACAAACAGACAAAAATCTCTTCATGTAAATTCTCTGAAAGTAAACTTATATTCTACTTGGAAAGACCTACACTGAGCATGATAAATAAATAAAATGTAATGTGTTAGGATATGATAAGAGATAAGGAGAGAAATAGAGCAAAGAATAAGAGTTTGGAATAGTAGAGTAGATTCTTCATTTTCTAAAGAATATGATTATTGATTTTAAAGAGAGATAAAGGGAGAGGCATAAAGAGAGGGAGAGGGAGGGGAGAGAGAGAAATTGATTGGTTGCCTCCTGTACAGACCCCAACCAGGAGTAAAATGCACAACATAGATATGTGCCCTGACAGGAAATCGAAGGTGCAATCTCTTGGTGTATGGAAGGATGCTCCAAACAACTGAGCCACCTGGCTAGGGGAGATTC